AGAAAAAATGAGCGGCGTCCCAAGTAAGCTGTCCAACCGCTGCTCCATCAAGTTGCAGCCAAATTGTCACGAACAGAAGTCCATGGATCAGGAAGCTAACCCATGAAGAAACAGAGTGACAGATCCAATCGCCACCCTATTACCGCTCTTCCTTGCCTTGTTGACGAAGTTTACTTAGCCTACAAGGTTTATGAGACTCTTTCCTAGTGGGTTTAGGATGTTTTGGGCCGATATTATCCCCTATAAATAGAGGGCACGACCTACTAGTTTAGTACGACTGCACATATATCTGTAACACTATACTAGAGTGCTTAGCCTTGTCGAAGTAGGGGGTCTGCAGGCTGCAGCTATAGATAAGGATTCGCCTTAGAGGAAGGGATGTCACATTAAAATAGATGAAGCATCGATGCATGATATCAATGATTGACTCAACTTGAATGCACCACTTTAAAACTCCCAATTAGGCCGAAGTATAAACCTTAACCGGATGCAGTACATGGCAAGTATGTTTAAATATCGACCAGTGCCGGTTCATGTACCCCTACTTCGATTGTTTGTAACATTATCTAGCGGTTGATTTTTGGCAAAAAAAAAAAAAAAATCTAAAGCTAAAGAGTTTGCAAAAGTAAATGGATTTGACACTAATTGAGAAGGCTTCACCCAGGTGTTGCTCTCCCTAGCTAGCAATTACGACTTGTTGGATCGAATGGTCGTGTGTGTTGAGGGGGTTGTAAACCGTAGGGAAGTGTAACAAGTGGCCAAGCGCCACCCTCTTAGTCTCTAGGTTGAGGGAAAGGGATGCGATCCAAGCCACCGACGTGACTCTCTTGACCTATTGACTGAGGATTGGTTAGACTTCACCCTCGAATCGGAGTTTAGACGGCCAGCCACATCCAAACCCTAGGTGCTAATACGAAATAGTAGGTTTTCCCTTCATTAACCTAACTAAAAGACAATGAATTGCCTAAGAAAACCCAACATTCAAGCCTCTTTCAATCTATCAAGCATTCACATAGTTGTAGCTAGGGTTTACAAACACCCAAGTGAAATAAGGGACTACTCCATGCTAGGAGAAGGGAAAACACAAGAGAGAAGAAGGAAAACCATCAAAGAGATGCTAGCCTTGCTCTTTGTGTTGAAGAGATCCTCCTTTGGGGCAAGAATTCTCAAATCCTTGCTTAACGATGAAACCCTAGCTTCTCCTCTTCTTTGATTCTTCATTTTCTCACTCTAGAAATCTGAAGATGAAGAATTTTCTCACACTAGGTCTCTCATCTTCTCCTTTGGCTCAACCTCCTTTATATACCTAGATCGGGCTCAGTTCACGTTCTTAGTTCATGGCATTGAACTGAAAGCGCAGACAGCGAACCAACGTTGAAACGCCGCATCTCTAATCCCAGTTCACGGGCAATGGCCTGAGTTCACGGTCTTACGATCGTGAACTGACTCATGCTCAGTGAAAACCATTTGTGTTATGGATGCCTGGCAGTTCGTGGGAATCGCCTCCAGTTCACGGTCTTAGTGACCGTGAACTCACTGCCCAAACCGTGATATGCTGCTGCTTCCCCCGTTTGACTTGATTTTTCGCCCTTTCGTCTAACTTTCGAATCCAGACTTAGTTCCACATGCCAAAGTCTGAAAAACACCAAAACAAGGGACTAAAACCAAACCTTTCGGAGTAAAAATGCTTCAAACGACTAAGCAAACCGGGGGTAAAAAGTATACAAATGAGCCCGAATCAATGAGCCCTAGTGTGCATGATAGTTTATGAGTTCAATACCTCTTACAATAACGTATCTTTACTTTTATGCATTTATAATTGAAAAACCCTTAAACAACTTTACTCATCTTGCTTTGCATGTTTATTTCGTGTATGACATGGATGGCTGATGTGAGTAGTTATGCATTAGAAGATCTCGAGAAATATGACCTTGATGACTCCTAGGATTTTATCACTTGTTTATACACATCAGTGATGTAGTTCGAGACGGAAAATTGAATCGACGATGACGGTGACAAATAGGGGAATAGCGGTTCTTTACATCTTTGTCTCTTTTGGAATGGTCTCCGGGATGTTGATTTGGACCAGCTCGATTGCAGTGGAGAAATTGGGCTGCAATGCCATTGGCAGGATCCATGCATGGATGAAAATGATTTAGGCAAAGACAATTTGGTGATGCCTAGATGGTGACCAACGACAATTTGGATGATTTGGCAAAGAGAATTTGGATTAAACACAATAGAAGGATGTAGTGAATGAGCAATGTAAGTGTGATGCTGGGCCTGGCTGAAGGATGCGGTGATACGGAGGAAGCATTTGAGGTTAGATAGGCGGTGGTGGAATTGGGTCGATCCCGGCGGTTTCGATTTGAGCTATTGTTTTTTTAATTGACAATTGAAACCAATACAAATCCGGATAGTGTAGACAGGTTTCGCGTCGCTTAAATGATCAACCCAAAAAAGTTTTGCCGGTTAAAACGACGCAAAACATATAAAATAACTCACACTAAACAACTTTTTTCTTATAGTGAATTAGATCAAGCAAATGAAAAAGAATTTAGAAGTTTAGTGAAGGGAGGAATAGTTTGTCCATCCTCGTCGCCGTTGTTGTTAGGGTTCTTTCCTGACGATGACTTCTCCTTTTGATTCCCCTTGTAGTGGTAAAAATCCCCAAAAATCGGAAAAATCGAGCACAATAAAAGAAATCAAAATTCAACATGCAAATCGACCTACCTATTTTCTTTTTAGGTTGTCAATTTTCCGTAAACACTGAACTTGAAATACAAAGGATATGTATTGAAATTGAGTCATTTTGAATTTTAAAAGTTGTTGTTCGTTTATAGGATTTGATTATGGGTTTTGTGATATTGGATTTTAGGGCTTAAAAGTAAATTTACCATGCTACACTTAACTAAAAGTAATTTATTTTGATTTTTCACTCATTCTTTCTAATTGTTTATCATTGAGGATGATGACAAAAAGGAAACGACGTAATGAAGGTAACGTTTGAAACTTTGAAGCAGTTAAATATATGTTAATGGGAATGTCATTTTACTATCAAATATTTGGATGAAATATTTCAATGGGGATTTCACTACAATCAAGATTTTGAAATTGATGATTTTTGAAATATCTGATCTCATCAGTTATTTTCAACCCCATCAATTTTTTTCTTCTTCAAAACTTACCCTCCTCATTCCAACTTCCTTCTTTCTTTTCTCTGACCAGTCTTCTTCCTTCTTCCTTTTCAAGCTCAATAAAGCCTAATCAAGAAGTGGACAATTCATCCCAAAAGGAGACAATTTCTGCCAACAGTTCTCCTCTAATTTCACTAAAGAACGAACTTCCGCTTTGCCGCCTAGCATGAGTGTTCGAGATTTTCTCCAACGAAGAATTCACCATGGCCTTCCAGTGCAATGGCTAACGAGGGAGACAAGCGTCGCAACCCAGGGGACAGCGAGAACCACCATATCTTTCATCCATCCGACCACTTAGATCCATGCTATTCCTCCACTTCTTCCTTCTCTCATCTTCCTCCTTGGGATTTCAGGGTATTTTGTATTTCATGGTTTTATTAGGATTTTATGGACGACATAGAGGCTGGAAAAGATGAAGATTTGTTATTTTTCGGGATGCATTATTCGCACTTTTGGGATTTTATGGGTTTTATTAGCAAATTGAGCCATCATTGTTGTTGTTCATCGTCAATTGCAGACCGTCATACAATATCTCTGATTTTGGGTTTGAGGTTCTTCCTTCTTGGATCTGATTCTGGGTTTGAGATAGAAGCATGTGAAAGAAGAATAGCATGGGTTATTGGATAGAAGCAACCTCAATTATCTTTTTTGATTTTGATATTATTAGGAGGTGAAACAACGAATAACGAAAAACAAATGAAGAAAGGAGGGGAAGCAGACAAAAGGGTAGAAGAAGAGGACAATAATGTAATTTGGAGTATTACATTAGAATTACGTGTCTCAATCCAAACAAGTAATTTTACATAAATCTTAGGGTTCGTTTGGAAGTTGCGATTGTTAAATAGATGTATTGTTGAGAATGTATGTATAATATTATACATGTATTGTTGAATTTGATGCATTGTAGAATACAACGTTTGGTATGTGTGATTGTGTATGTCGCATCAGCTAAAAGCTGAGACAAAACAATCTCAACTCAACAATCTCAACAATCACAACTAAAAGTTGATATATAACAATCACTCAAAATGAGTGATAGTTTCTGTCACATCATAGAAACAATCCATGTATTGTTTCTGCTAAAAAAAAACAAAAAAACGACGCATTGTAAACAATACATGCATAATGACAATCTCAACAAAACAATCGCAACTTCCAAACGACCCCTTACATATAAACATTTCATGTATCAAAATTCCTCGTTATCAGAATTCCTCATCTAATCGATCTCATCTATTAGTGTTGAATTTTCAAATTTGTGTTCTTGTGGATTTGATCCCTCTCATTTTTAACAAAGAAACGAAGGAATTCGCCAATTACTTTGTTCCAAATTCATGACTCAAATCTCACAAGCAAGCGACTCCTAAAATACATACATGAATATCTTGCCGATGTTCTCTAGGAGAAATTTGTTATGAAAGTTTCAAATTTAGCACACAATGGCCACAATCTTTGGCAAGTTAGTTCATCAAGATCCTATTTCCATGAGTTATACACATTAATATCGGAAAATTTCAGTACCAGATATACTCATTTACATTATATGTATGAATTAGATATCACCCAAAACCCTAATACATCCATCCTAAACACAAAATCAAATGTGTTTTTTTCCGGATCGATTCTCACTCTTCAGCCACCACCAAGCATGACTTAGGCATGTTTCAAACTAACCACAGAATCATGCACCATGCATGAAGAAATGGACGAACAGAAGAAGAAAGAAGAAGCATGCACTATATAACTTTCCACTAGCTAGACTTCACTGATGCTCTCTTAATTTCTTTTGTGGTAGCTTCAACAATGAAAGTGGCAGTGGAGATATTGACAGGAAGCCTCTTCCATGTTGATGTAAAGGACGACGACAATGCCGCCACAGTTGCTGATCTCAAACAAGCAATCGCAAGCCAACAGAAGCTACCCTTTGATCGCTTGATCCTGCTGCAGGGAGATGGAGAGGAGGAAGAAGCTCCTCTAGATGATGACTCGCCACTTGCTGATTATGGGATTCACGATGGATCTCACATTTACCTCTTCTTTAAGTTGTTGGATGATGGCTCCTCCCACAACTTCGTTTTCACTAGCCCCGAGGCCGCCTTTTGAGTTAGCTTTTGTTTTTGTTGTTGTGGGTTGTTGTTTGCTTCTTGGTAGAAGATTTCTTCAAATATGTGTAGGACGTATGAGTGAGATCAAAGATATATAGGAACTAAACTGTAATTCCTAGCTTATTTGGATATCTTAGGAAAATTATTTGGGTTTTATTAACATTTCGATATATATATGAAAATTGTTTAGTTGCTCCTAAGATGAAAGTTGAGGTGAAAAAACCTAGGTACCCCTCCAAGCTCAATCTATTAAGTGTTATTTAGAGCATGAGCAATTTTTTTTTAAAGGTTTAATAGCATTTTGTACTCATCTATTATGGTAGATTAACAAATGTACTCCTAATAAAATTTCGCACAAATATGTCCTTCTAAAATTAAATCGTAACACATTTATCCAAAGACGGCAATGACGGAGGGTCTGAGTGAGGGAAATACAGAGAGGCTGCACCGGAGGAAGAGATTTGTGGTGGTTGAGTAAACAGCTACCCAAAGGCCGGCGATGGTGGTAATAAGATCAACATAAGCTATCAAAGGCTGAGTTATGTAGTTGTTGTGCCTAACTCTTAGTTATGCACCGTAACCCAAGTCACTCTTAAGTACTATAAGCTATCAAAGGCTGAGTTATGTAGTTGTTGTGCCTAACTCTTAGTTATGCACCGGAACTCAAATCACTCTTAAGTACTATAATTCAAGAAGTGTGTGTTAGTGCTCGAGTTCCGATGCATAACCTTTGGTGCACTACTACCTAACCTTGTGATAAACAACCTAGAGCATATCAAAGGCGGCATGGAACTCTAACATCGCACAACCTAAAGTCGAGATGTTCATCTAGGAGGCATGTAGTGTCCAAGAGGCCACATCAATCACAAGCCCCACATGCTTGTGATAAGCATGCTAATATGTCTAAGTCTGGACAGAGGGGCATGCCAGTGGATGTGGAGGCATATCCAATAAGTCACGACGTAAGAAAGCAACAAAATATTTTATGAATATGAAATTTTAGCTAAGTATGGACAAGGCAGGTCCATGAAGCCACATGAAGTCCAAGCCATACATGGTTATGATAAGCATGGTAGTTTGGTCAAGTCTAGACAAAGGGGCATGTCTAAGAAGACACAACTTGTTCAGGCCATATCCATGGCTATTATAAGTATAAGAGCATGACCAATGGTGGACAAGGGGCAAGTCCTTGTCTATGAGTGGTAATTTTATGTCACCAACCACGAAGGGTGGACAAGGGGACATGTGTAAGAAGTTACCAACTAAACATGATGGCTCCAACAAACAAGGTTGGTTGTGTGCTAAGTATAGGAGCCAACAAAATTAAGAAGTTGAGAGACAGAGTCAAGTGAGCCACATGGGCGGTCGCCGACTTGTCAAGTCTCGGCATGGTCTCCAACAACATAAGGAGAACAAACATGTTTTAACCATGGTAAAGGAAACCGTACCGGAAGTCATACCGGACCCGTCAGTGGTAGGGTATTTTGTGGTACGACCGTGGTTCAACCGTTTTGTACCGGTAAAATATAATTTTTATAATTAAAAAAATATTTTTTTTTGTTAAAAAATCGTACTGGCAGATTCAGGATACCATTTCAGAGTAATACTGGAATAAAACTAGAATATACCGGATAACAAACCCGAATAAACTAAATAGGCATAGGTAATATAACAATAATATAACTGTAATACTTTGGTAAAAATAAAAACTCTAATACATGTATAATATTTTTTTCTTTGAAAAACCTAATTATTTCTTTATACATTATTATAACTTCTTTTACTTTTCACTCTCCCCTTATCCAATTCCCTGTCATTCACCCACCGGCATCCTCACTACACACACACTCTCTCTCTCTGCGCTTTCTCTCTCCATTTTCTCCGATGCATAGCCAGAGCAATCTGAAGCTCTGCTATGCTTTTATTTGTGGTGATCAACTTCTCCATGCAATCACCAAATTCATCCTTTCTCTATCTTAGTAGGTGAACTTATAATCGAAAAACAACGCTAGTTTGCAGGGGAAGAAGAAAGCACTGTGTCGGCGGCGACCATCGACTCGGCATCGGAAGGAGATAAAGCGACCAACTAGTTGGAAGGAGAAGTGTTTTTCTTTGCTTTCTAATTAACTCAGATCATGACAAAAATTTGCTGGAGGAAAAGTAAAGCATTGCATGGACGATTGATTTGATGCCGGAAGGCGATAGAACGATCAGTTGGAAGAGGGCTTTTCTCTTTGATATCCAATTAAATTTAGTTCGTGAAGAGACCCGCGAACTTCCATTATATGATCTGCGCTACAATGAATTTAAATTCGTGAATTACCCACCAATTGGGTGACCTAACTTCGACCGTCTCTGGGTCTGGGATGGGAAATCGAGTCCGGCGTACAGAGACGACAAGGACTGAAGGAGAGGGAGACTAGGCGCGATGGCAGGCTCGTCCTCTGTCCTTCTCGCCAGTCGCCGGAGGCAGTGATGATTTGGAGCTCGCCGGTCGCTGGACTGCTGGAGAAGACGAAGGACGTACCGCGGTCAAGGAGGGGTAGGCTGTGCTGGAGAACGATCTTGTCTTCCCGCCGGTCGCCAGAGGAAGGATTGAACTGACCCAGTGATGTTCCCGTCTTCTCGCCGGTCTTCATAGGCATGGCTGGGTGTTTCCTCGGGAAAAAACCAAATGCCACCGCCGGTGCCGAATTCGTTTCCGACGATGTTGATTTGATGTTTCACGATGGAAACTCTTGCGGTGCCGTTTGATCGGATGCACCGCTGCTTGCTAAAATCGATGACGATCGTCAAATATCCACCGGGCGGTGTTGATTTGATCGATGCACCTCTGAATGGTGAAATCGACGTGACCGTCAAATATCCGCCACCGAATGTCGGCGTCGTTGATTTAATCGATTCACCTCTGACTTCTAACCAACGCGACCGTTACTACGGTTCGCACCTCTCCAAACTACGTTCGAACGAGGGTGTTTGAGTTTTTGAGGAATCTACGCTACCGCTACTCCTATGGAGATTCCTGTGGAGAGCTCCGCGACTACGACTAAGACTACAACTATGGAGATCCTTCCTGGAAGGAGAGCTCCGCGAAGGAGTTACAGAGAAAAGGTAAAGTTTGAACAGAGTTGATCTGTGTTGATTTTTGGTTTCCCTTTCTCTCTCCTTGCTCCACTGCTTTTATTCGAAAAACTGCTTCGTAGCCTTCACGCTCGGTGGAACCGCTTCCTCAACTGCTCCGTTGTGAAATCCCACGTGTCTCAACTGCCTTGATCTCCTCTTTCTGCTTTGCGTAAAAATCACGTGCCATCGAAACCGCTCCTGTTTGCAGAAACTTGGCGAAAAGCCAAATCCTACAACCTTGTCCATGCAACGATGTCGTTTCACCAATACCGCGGCATCACCTTTCACTAATCGATGCTGACAAACAATGTCGTTTTCCATTCCGCGACATTGTTTCTTTTGCAACCAAACGGCACCGTTGTGCTTGCCAGGCCTCGCCAAAATCCAAACCATTGTGGTATGGTTTTTAACTAAACGACACCGCTTAGTGATACTGCGGCGTTGTTGATGCCTTAAACGGTGTCGTTTTTAACTGAGCAGCACCGCTTGATTCTACCCGCGACATCGTTTTAACATTAAACGACTCCGCGACACTGTTTATTATTAAACACTGTCGTTTGCTAATCCGCGGTACCGTTGGGCTTACTCGCGGTACCGTTTTGAATTAAACGACACCGCCGATATAGCCAAAAAATATTAATCCATGGAACGAGTCGCAGTCGGCGCTCGCATTGGGCCGGGTGAATTTTGGTCACTTGCCCGATATGATTTTTAATTAATCGGTACCGCTTACCAGGCTTTCGCGGCACCGTTTTAACTCTCCGCGATACCGCTTGTCTCCATGCGGTACCGATTTTTCCCTTCCAACAAGGAATAAAAATATTAATTAATTATAAACAAAACTCCTTCCCCAACACCTACACTAGAACGCGCGGCCCCTCTCCAGTTCCGCGGTACCGCTGAGCTTCCTCGCGGCACCGGTTTTCTGTTTCGCGGTACCGGTTTTCTGTTTCGCGGTACCGTTTTAACTCTCCGCGATACCGCTTCTCCCCTTCCCACAAGGAATAACAATAATAATAATAAACTCCCTTTCCAACACCAATACCAAAACGCGCGTTCTTATTTTCCGGCGGTGTCGTTTTCTGTGTCACGGTACCGCTGAGCTTCCTTGCGGTACCGCTTTTCTGTTTCGCGGTATCGTTTTAACTCTCCGCGACACCGCTCGACTCCAAACGACACCGTTTTTTATCCGCGGTATCGAATTAAATGCCGAGACTAATTAATGCGGCATTTAATTCAGGACAAATTAATTTTAGGTGTCAACAAATGCCCCCCACAACTCGGTTTATAAGAATTATGAACCGAGTTGTTGACACAACTTCACCACCTAAAATTAATTCCAACGCAATTAACATAGGCCATACTCAGAGGTATTGGCCACGAGCAACTTCCAGGCCATGCATGACACACTTTGGCCAGCCACATAATTTTACATGGATTCCTAATGGCCTTGCTTTGATTCCTTTTACTCACCTTGCATATAAAGGCCATGCCACTTTCTAGCTCGGCCAAAGAAGTAGCACCGCAACGCTTAGCCCTGCAGCCCTGTTTGCTCTTTCCGCAACGTTGCGGATCATTGGCCTGAATTTTTTTTTTTTTTTTAATTAAATTATTATTTTCTGCAAAGCCAATGCAAACACCGCAACGCTGTTTTTTTCTTTGCCCGCAAGGTTGAGCCATGAATGCGGCAAACATTTACACTACTGTTTACATTGGTCAATCAGTTTCGGGTTTTGACCAAACAGACTTACGGACCCTTCAATGCGACAGCGTAGCCATCCCATTCAATTATCAAACCCGCCAGGCTTAGAGAAAACACTACTGGCCAAAACTTTTTCTTTTCCAACAAGGACACAAGGAGCAATCCCTCTCCCG